ACCATGCATGAGTCTGGGTGTTTATTATGGATTTTATTGAGGTTTTGGTCCTATTAAGCCATGCAAAGAAATATAGTTGCCAACTTTACGTGTTAAGACATCATTTAAGGTCAAGATAGGTGTTTGGATAGTTTTGTCTTAACCATTAAGAGATTATTTCGTATTTTTTCGGCCTCTGATGAGTACGATGGACATACATGGGAAGTACAATAAGTGTAATGCAATGACAGCTTGAACTTTGTGCTTCGAGGGTGAGTACGCGAGGCATATCCTTCTGGTACATGGGGCGTACTCCCGAGTAAGTCAATTTTGGGCCTTTTATGGTTTGGTCCTTGTTGGGCCATTAGACTTCTTACTTTGGGCCATGGATACAGTAAGGGTTTTCTTGGAATTTGGTCCATGATTGTTTTTGGGCCCAACTAGGAAGATGGGTCATATTGGGCTTTGGGAAGCCTTTTAGGAAATTTTGCTTTTAGAGAAAATTGTATGGGCCTTCGTGTTAGGAAAAATAAGTAAAGGGTAAAATGATATTTTACCCTTTAGGAAGTTGGATTATGTATTAGGTCTCAAATTTTGAGTTATCGAGTTAATTATTAATTAAGGTTGTATTTATTGTTAGTTGGTGCGAGTTATCTGGTTCAGCAACCTGAGCAGTTAGTTAGTTATCAGCGGTTTGAAGTGAGCCTTCCTTTGCAGTATCCATGGGTCAAAGGCACCAATGTTGAGCCCCTAGTTTATGATGTAGTGTGATGATTGTCTTTTTTGACAATTGCCAGTTATATCTGTATTTTCCTGATGATTATGTGATTTTGTCATGATATTCTGTGGTAGTATTAAGGGTGAAATAGATTCAATACACTTTGAAATAAACTGAAGGGGATTGCAAGCACCCAAGTATGCTTGATAGTATCTGGTTGAAATAGACGGAAGGGGATTGCAAGCACCCGAAAATGCTTGATATTACTCGGTTGAAATAGACCGAAGGGGATTGCAAGTAGGCCTGGAAATCGTGTCGTGTTCGGGTTGGCGTGTCGCGGGTTGGCGGATTGGCGGGTTAAAATATGCCAACCCAAACACGAACCATTTAAATATACAGGTCACGGGTTGGCGGGTTACGGGTTGGCGGGTTTGGAACATAAACCCATATATGACCCACCAACCCATTTATTTAAACATGTTCACAAGTTGGCAGGTTTGTGGGTCTAAATTTTAGATATTTAAGTCTTAAACATCCAAATAAAAATTAAAAACATTCATAGAAACATGTTACAGACTTAACATGATAGGTTACGACTTGTGACCTTAGACCATCCACCACGAGTAATAATGTCAAAACAATCAAATGGTCTATGAATAAATGGTATATATATTATATAATACTTATTAAATATTAATACTTGATACATAAATACATTTAAAAATATAATAATTTTTTTATTAAGAATATAAACGGGTTGGCGGGTCAACCCGTTTATTTTTTGAGAAACCCATATATGACCCGTTTAATAAACGGGTTGGCGGGTTGACGGGTTAGCGGGTTGGCGAGTTGAAAAACTCAACCCAAACCCATTTATTTCGTGTCGTGTCGCAGGTCGTGTCGCGTGTCGTTTCGAGAATTGCCAGCCCTAATTGCAAGCACCCAAATATGCTTGACAGTATCTGGTTTAAATAGACCGAAGGGGAAGACAAGAACCCTGATATGCTTGGTTGTATGTTTGATTACTATATGGTATTTTGGGGGAATTCACTGAGCTTCGCGCTTACGGTTTTCAGTTTATGTTCCAGGTACGTCCAGATTGACAGGAAAGGGTTTGATTTTCTCGCGATGCATCCACTAAAGTTTCCACAATGTTATGATTTTGGGATTGTACTATGATGACTGTTTTATCATGAAATACTTTAAATGTTTGAACAAAAGATAACTGGTGTTTTGATCGTGTTAAAAATAAAATTTTTACCTCTTAATTTTTGGGTCGTTACAGACATATAAAGAATGATGTGTGTTTTAATGAGTTAGCATGCAATTTCAAATTTTCCCTAAGGTAGCCAGAGTGGGATTTTCAAAAATAAGGTTCTAGTACTTTTATAGCAATTAAACTTTTTAATGAAATTATGTCCTATCAAACCCGATCAGCCAATGACCCTCAACCACACAAGAGAGCGGTGGGTAAATAGGATACACATTCAATGGTTATTTTATAGGTATTTTCTTTATACCATATTTATAGCATGGCTTGGTGAATGAGGCTTACTAGCAATTCGATTGACTTTTCTTATACACATATTACTTAATATTATAATACATATACATATTAGGGTGTATTTTAAAACTTTTCAAAAATACAAGGTTTAAATGTTAATTATCTTAATTAAAGTTTAATTAAATAATATTTAAAACAATTATGATTTAATCTTTAGCTTTTTTTTAAAAAATAATTCAATTAATTTAAATCATTTAAACATTAAATAATTATTTTCAATTAAACGATTAATAAAATAATTCAAATTTAATCATAACCCATAAGCCTTACTAATTTTTGAAACTTAGGGTTTAGGTTTATATAGTTTTAATGATTCAAATTTTAATGCATCTAAAGTAATAATTAAGGAAAAAAGATAAACCATGAGGGAACCCTAAAGCCATTTTCGAAATTAACGGGGTGGAGGCTAGGGTTTCAAGAACCCTAGCCTTTTGCGAAAATTCAAGACTTTAGGGTTTAATTTATATAAACGCTAATTTTGATTCATTCACTATTATGCACAATTAAATAGAAAACTAAGGCTCTGATACCAATAATAGGTTTTGTATGTTATAATTCAATGCATGAAGTAAAATAACTTAACCCTAAAGTTCACATGCAACCTATTTGGATCTTAGTTTTCTCTATTGATAGCAATAATCTATGAATATCAAGAACGATAAGGAACCTACTATTAAAATACACCCTAAGTGTTCCATTAGATCTGTTCTTTGTTACATGATCCATTCCCTTATCAGATGATTCGTTCCTTTGTAAAATACTCTATGAGCCCCACGTGTTCCATTGAGTTCTATGTGCTCTTTAAACTCAATTGCTCCATGAGAATGTTCTAAATGTTCAAGTCACATTTAACATCTCTCTTATCAAGAATATATAGATAGTTACAAGGGAACTATATGCTAGACTATATAGGCCCTAATACATCATATGGACCAATTTATATAACGATCAAGTATACATTCACTAATGTCACAACCATTCGATTGAAAAATACGTAAAAGCAACTAAAAAGGTAATATCTTTTTCTATTTAACATGGTTATTAAAAAGTATAAAAAGGGTAACATTTTTTTCACGAATCTTAAGATACGTATTCATCCGCAAAATTTGAAGGTATTTCAGCCGACAAATCGTAAGTTGCAAATAGCTTATATTGCTTGTCGTATGCAACAACGAAACATGGTAAACCAAGCCTCAAATTCTATGAAAGGGCAAACAACAAGTTTATTTGCCGATATTAAAAACTGTCGGGGTAAATTTTTTCCATGTTAGTAATCAAAGAACAAATAACAAATATATAAGATCTAGAGTTAAAAAAATATATTAATAAGTTTAATCAATGTTTAAAAAACTGGTTTTTTAGTTGAACCGGTATAGTGACCAGTTCTCGGTTTAACCGGTTCGACCACCAGGTCAACCGGTTTCTATAATTTTCATATTTTTTTTTTTTAATTTCTTACACATACATACATATACAAATCATGAATTTGACATTTATAAGTTCAATATATATATATATATATATATATATATATATATATATATATATATATATATATATATATATATATATATATATATATATATATATATATATATATATATATAGGGAAAAGTGAATATACCCTTAAGGGTATATAAGCTTAGGTACCCAAACTCACCATATTATATCGTTTTATATCATATATACACATTGTAATTATCCAATAATCTTCTAATTCAACTTTTAACTTGATTTAATTCCAAAATATTTATAAATTTTACATTTATCTTCATTTTACATAATTTTCATTTTTAACTATAATATATATAGCTTAGTAGGTCTTCGGCATACATATGTAATGTAAGAGGAAGTGAAATTTCAAAAATCTTGAAAGTAAATCAAATTAGGGTTGAAGTTTAAGACATTATAATGATTCTATCAAACAAAATGATGTATTTTGGTAGGTTTGGGTACCTAAGCTTATATACCCTTAAAGGTATATTCACTTTCCTATATATATATATATATATATATATATATATATATATATATATATATATATATATATATATATATATATATATATATATATAAGTTGTAGATCCATCCAAATAAATTAAAATAACATATAATCATAAGTTTTAGTGGTTTACATTAATCCATATACGTCAAAAAGAAAATAAAATATAATACTCAAACGAAATATTGTTTTCAATTAATGCAAATACATCAAAAAACTTTATAACATTTATCATATGTTTTTTTAGAGAAAACTAAATAGATTTAAAAAATATCACCAAAGTTTATTATGCAAACGATTCTTTTCAATGTGTTTTCATTCGGTTTAACCGGTTCGAACGGTTTATTTTGGTCCGTTCAATCCGATTCAAAAATCGACGTAAAACTGGTGATAGTTGAACCACTCTCTCCCTCGATTTCCAGTCTATCAGGTTCGACCGACCGGTTCAAACTGGTTTTTAAAACATGAGTTAAATCGTCTTTCAACATGAGGAAAAAGTTTATGGAAAAGAATAATTAATCATAGATTTTTTATGACATAATCTGACAATTAATGCGTAGTCAACCATTATATTAAAAGATAATCTTTAAATTAAATGACTACCTAGAATATTTATCATAAAAGCCGAAATTATTTTAATTTATTTTCTATATAAGAATCCTCATTTGGAACCAGGAAAACCACAACAGGCTTCCATAGTTCTGTCGTTGCTTTGCTTCTCTGGCCTAAGCCTTGCCATGCCGAAACACAAAGTGAAGCTCGCATTCATAACCAACTATTATGCAAGGAAGGCATCTTTAAAGAAAAGGAAGGATAGTTTGAAAAAGAAGTTGAATGAGCTATGCACTTTATGCGACATTGAAGCATGTGCTATCATGTATAGCCCGAACGAGTCTCATCCTGATCTGTGGCCAAGCAAGGAAGGTGTTGAAGATGTGGTGGATAAGTTCAACAAAATTCCCGAGATGGAGCAGAGCAAAAAGATGTACAATCATGATACCTACATCAAATCAAGGATCACCAAGACCGAGGAGCAGATCAAGAAGCAGATTAAGGACAACTGGGAGACTGAGATGTGCAACAAGATGTCAGAATGCTTTTCTGGGGAACGTTCCATCTCGAACTTACCCATAACGGATTTGAATGATCTTGTGACATTCGCTGACCAAAGAGTATCTGAAATTGAAAGCCTGATTGAGTCGCTAAAGAGTGCGGCTCCTGCAGCAGTACCCCCACCAGATCCACAGCCACCGGTTGTTTGTGGCAGTAACGCAGATAACCCTGGAATGGCAGGAGGAATGGCTGCGGATGGTTATGTACCAGTGGTAGAGAACCCTGTAACTTTTGATTCGGAAGAAGCTACTGATGAATGGTTCTCAGACTGGATTGATAATATGGTGGACACTTTTGGGTCGTTCTCAAGGGGATGAAATAAAAAGGCAGTTTACAGAAGACCCTAATCCTTTGTGGTCAGGTGCATCTTCTTCAAAATGGAGCAAGTTAATCTCTTTCATTGTCTGAGTAGTTTTCTTTGTTATAACTAGTTTCCAGTCTTCAAGACCCAAATCTCTGTTACTTTTTTTTTTTTTTTCTTTTACTTGTCCTTTGTTGGTTTTGCCTTTGTCTTTCAACTTTGTGTTTGCAGTAGCTTCGCTACATCCCTTGGGAAATTAATGAATAATGCTGGAATTTTATTTATGCATACCGGGCCAGTTTTTATATATATATATATATATATATATATATATATATATATATATATATATATATATATATATATATATATATATATATATATATATATATATACTTGAAATTGCATTGACTAGTCTGGTTAATCGGAAATTTTTCATTTGGGGTTGTAGACTAGATGCTATTTGATGAATCTAAATGTAAATTTTATAAAGGATGTTTTACAGTGTGGTGTATCTGATACTTTCCAAGTACTCAGCTAAATGAGTATATATATTAGTAACAATATTATTAGCATTAAATTTTTCTGTTATGGAGAAATTTACGATACTAAATATATATTCTACAGCTGTTTTTCTGTTCTGAAAAAAAATATATATATATTTTATTTTAAAAAATTACAGCATATATCAATCTGAAATTGTAAATCTATAATTTACAACAAATTAAAATAATTAAGGTTTAATTATTGAACCTAAGAATCGAAGATGTTCATGTTTATTTGGTGGGTCAATCACCAACTTTGTTAAAGCTTAAACAATTTAATAAATGATAAGCAATTTCACACACATATATATATATATATATATATATATATATATATATATATATATATATATATATATATATATATATATATATATATATATATATATATATATATATAGAGTAATAATGCAAAAAATAATAATAATAAAAAAAAATAAAAATAAAAAAACACAATATTTACGAAGTTCACACAATCAGAGTGATGGACTACATCCATGAGAGAGAGAGAGAGAGAGAGAGAGAGAGAGATTACTAATACTGTGGAATTAGTATTGTTTAGCTTAGGTTAAAGAAATTCATGGAATCTATTTATAAAATTATTTGAGCACAATGACCTAAAATCTGTAAGGAATGCCACATCGAAAACTAGTGACCATAATGTCAAAGGTTAACAAAGGGGTGTGGAAGAATATCACTAAATCGAGATCGTATTTGGAAAGGTCAAACATTGGCATTAAAGAAATTATATCTGGGAATTCGAATGACGACAGGTGGGAATCAAAATTTACAGTTGAATGTCGTTTTATGGTTTGTAAGTTAAGAGAATGAATTGAATTAGCTGGATTCATTATTAATGATGGACCATTTGATTGGAGTAAGTGGACTCCGTTCAAGATTCTAGCATTCATTTGGAGAGCTAAGTTGGGGCGAATCCCTTCTGTTGTGGCTCTTAGTCATCGTGGAGTCAGCATGTGAACTACAATGTGGGGAGCTTGTAATAATGATGAGGAGACGTGTGATCATATTCTGATTTCTTGCCCAATGGCAAAGGAGATTATGGATTCAATACTTAATTGGTGTGGAATTGGGTGTGAAAAGTTTTCCTCGGTTAAGGACATGCTTTGTTTCATATCAAGATGGTCTGGTAATAAGAAGAGACAAAGCTTGCTGAATATGATATTATGTGGTACGTTATGGTGCATATGGGTTGGGCAAAATAAACGGATCTTTGAAAAAGTTTGCATGAAATCAACAATGATTGTGGAAAGGATAAACGCTTTATTGTTCATATGGAGCAAACATAGAACTTCATTTAAAACGATAGATTGGAGAGTGTGGAATATTTGCCCTTTTCATTGTTTGGAACTCTTCTATTTTTCCGTTGTCTTTTGTGCTCTTCTGCCACATCATCTTGTTGTGGTTCTAATTTTATATATTTGCCGTTTTCCATAAATAAAAATAAAATAAAATCAGGCTCCGCAACTCAATAAACTTAACCATGTAGAGATTTGACATTGTGTATCGATCAATAATAATGTGATTTACCAATTATAAGAAAGAGCATTAATTCGCTATGGAAGCGATGGAGCAATTGTTGTTTTTCTTTACAAGAAAAACTCATAGAATATTCCTTTTAGAAGCAATGAGAAAATGTGCAAAGCTATGAGAGATAAATACATTCCATGTAATTAAGTAAAAATCAAGAAAATAGAAGGCAATGTTTTGAAAACCGGACCGGACAACGAACCGGCTGTCTAACTGGTTCGATGATTCAACTGATCGGACCGATTCAACCGGTCTAAAAAACCGGATGAACCGGTATGTGTGTGTGTGTGCGTGTATATATATATATATATATATATGTGTGTGTGCGCGCGCGCGCGCGCTTTTTGTGCTCAAAAATAACATGATCCACTCGCACGGATTAATACATGTTTTCTATATATATATATATATATATATATATATATATATATATATATATATATATATATATATATATATATATATATATATATATATAAAAAGAGAACTAACACGGCCCCTTCTCTGCTCTAGAATTACACCAGATCAGTTCCACACACCTGAATAAACCAGAATTCAGTAGGCGTCAATGACTCACAGCAGTTTATCCAATCTGCATGATCCATGAGGCAATATGAGCAACGAATTTGATTTTCTAGGGTAACCAAGCGTTACCTGTCAAATACTTCCATGTGATGCAGATGGACTATATATATTCTTTGAAAATATTGCAATATTGCAATGGCAGTGTTTGAGAGGTTCACCTGCAAAAGGGTTTCAAAATTAAATTAAAATTTTACTGAGCATGAAGATCTTAATCTCTAATTTCTTTTGGAAAGGTATAATGCTCATAAGTGTAAGGATTTGTTGTTAGCTATTTCTTATTGATTGTACGGGCCTTGTGGACGACTAAGTTACTGAACTCCTATAAGACCTTTTACCCTTTACCAAACACTAGTGAGATCGATCGATATATTTTTTCTATATAAGGACCTCCCTATATATAGTTAGTATTGGATAAGAGAGCAAGCCTATCGTCCGTTGGTATAATATTGGGAATTCTTTACGATAGTCGTATGCGGATTTCTCTAAAGCATGTTGTTCAGTTTTGGTTTAAATTTATTGCGCAATTACAAGAAATCTTCAAATGATTATTTGATTAAGTGTGTGGGTAGATTATTAAAATAGATCTATGCACTTATATTCTAGTCAAGTATAGATATAATATGGTATGATCCACCATCTTTTTCTTGTTTGTTCCTAATAACTCTCTCTTTTCAAAAAAAGTCCCTGTCAAATAATTCTAAAAGTTTGATAGTTGATACAATTTTTATCTAACTATTAGACAAGTTATTATCATAATTTTTGTTAGTATGCTTCTAGGGTCGTCATAACCATTTATATCTATATCTATCTCTACTACATTTTAATAGAGACATAATTACAAGCTCGACATTGATTTGAAACCCTCGTATCTTTTCATATTTTCCAATATATTTACGCTGCCTTTTAATAACTATTATTAATTGTTTTAACATCAAACATGCTATATGAACTATTTCATGTGACATTAGATTCTATAATTTCTCTCTTTAGTTCTTGGTTTCTTGAAATGATTCTAGCCCTAGGTGTTTTTTTGTTAACGTTTTTTCTATTTATGAATATTATTAACGTTTTTTGTTTATCTTTTTTACGGTAGATTTCATATAATCAAAATTGTAATATTTTGGATGACAATTTGATTAATCATTCAAGAAAAACATGAAGAAATATAGTTTGTGAAGATCAACCAAAAATAGTTAATGTAAAACGTTTTTCCTTTTACCTCAATCATATTATTTATATATCCATCTTGGTTTTTACAGGGCTTCTTGCTCTAAGTGTTTTTGCAATGTGTTTATGAAATGTTGCTAATTTTTTGTGTTCATGTTTTTCTTCGGTCGATTTCATAAAATCAAAATTGTAATGTTTTGGAATACAAGTTTTTTTAATACTTAATATAAGACGTTTTTTTTTTTCCATTTACCTCAATCATATTATTTTATATATCAAAAATGAACTTTAAGTTAGATCTATACTTGTTTTAAAAATATAGATATCTCAAATCCGGTTGTTGTATTAATAATGTTTATTTAAGTTTTATATATTATACATTACAGAATTAGTTTTTTAGTTGAAAATTAAAAGTTTATATAACTATTGTTTATGTTTGTTTGGTGTTGTAGATATAAATACTATTTGGATTTATGTTATAACTAAATAATGATGGTAAATGATTTTTGGATTTACGAAAGTTGTAAAGGGTGTTTGGATAACCACTTATAACAAAACGAATGGTTGATGATGGTTTTCGATGAGTTTCAATTATCTAAAATATTAATATTAAGAATACCATTGGTTAAACATTTGATAAATTCTAATTATGTAAATAACGAATTATTGAAAATACTAGTATTTCTAAATATAATTTACCAACATATATTATAAAGAATATGACATGTAATTTTAAGTATTGCACCTAATTGATTAGAAACCAATGCAACTAATTAATTGTCAACTAATTAACTATCACTAATTTAATTTTAATAGATTAAACTCATATGTAATTTTAAATAAAGTCTCTTTTTCAATTTTCACATAAAATATATACTTTAAAGATCATTGATTTCACATAACTATTGTTTAGAAACATATTAAATTTTTACATCCAACTAATTAACAACTATTAATTTGATTTTTAGTACATTAAACTCATTTATCAACTTCCAACTAATTAACTATTTTAATAATTAAACTTATTTGTAATTTTAATTTTAAATCAAACTCTTCAAATCCAACATTAAATATACCTACATAATTTATTTCTTATACCATATTGACTTAAAGACTACACAACTCTTCTAATTCAATCTAATTAATCATCATTAATTTGAGAGGTTAGTACATTAAATTCATTTCTATTTTTAAATTTACTATTAACTATTCAACTTTTAATATAAACTATATTTAAAGTTATTGCCTTATGTCAGATAAACATGAAAGGTTCATAAATTATTTCTAAACAATAACACACACAAACATACACACACGTGTGTATATATATATATATATATATATATATATATATATATATATATATATATATATATAACCTAAATCAAAAGGTTTAATTAATTTAAAGGTTAACTAAAATCTAATTTTGTAATAATGATATGGGAAATCTCCAGAAAAATCTTAAAATTTTAAGTCAATTTATGAAAAAGTCTCAAACTAAATTTTGTTTACAGAAAACTAAATTTTCGGTTGGTTTCGCAGATTTAACTGGTATTCAGTTTTTTTTTTGCGTTAGTTTGCTCAAAATTTTGGGACTTTTTCAAAAACTACTTGATAACAAAAATATTATGACTTTTCTGAAAAATAGCATGGAATTAATGGATATTACTATTATCAAATCATTTATAAACTTAAAAAATATTTTTATTATAAAAATAGGAAATAAATTTGTTGCTTCTTACTGATTGTGTATTAATAAATATTATCAAATCTTGTATTGGTCATGCCTAACAAATTACTTTTTACTATGACACCCACAACCATATATATGAGGAACTTATGGACTTTGAAGTGGTCAACAAACAATAGAGAAGTACATAATCGATCATTTTATTCCTAGAAATTAGCAAAAAATTGTATTTCCTTTGTTTATAATAAAAAGAAAGGGTAAATTACGCCATTCGTCCCTCATGCACATGCCAGAAAGCATGTTTAGTCGTTATTTTCAAAAATTAACTCGGACCATCACTTGGTTTGTTTTTTCTTGCATTTTTAGTCCCTAGTGACATGAAATGACTATTTTACCCTTAATAATTTCTTTTTTCATTTTCTTTTATTCCTTTATCAGTTTTACATTATAAAAAAAAATAAAACTTAAAAAAAAAAATCAAATATCACCCCCCCCCCCCCATTCTCTTTCCTTTTTCCTTTTACCTTTTCTAGAAATCAGCACCACCATAACCAATGTCTACCACCACCGAATACCACCGGAAACTGCACGTCCTCCTCATTTCTCCGGCGAAACTAACTAGCCAAAAATCGTTTGTTTTCCCCTCTTCCATATCACCATCGTTAATCTCAAACAACCCTATAGAAACCACAAACAATTACAGTCAATATCCATCACCTCAAATTATCGCCAATCTCCACCATTGAGAAACCATACCTGACTGTCAAACATCAAATATTCAACCCAAAGCCTTCCTTCTAATCTGAAAATCAAACCCCTCATGAATCTCAAACCCAATCAGATCCACATTTAAATCTGAAAGTCAAACCCAAAACGGAAACTCGAACATCAGAAATCACATCCTCCCCCTCTCTACATTTAGATATGAAACTCAAATCCATATCTACATTTAAGGTTTCATACGATGATGTTAGGGTTTCTGCACAAATTGATGGTGGCGAGCAGCTCATAACAAGTGATGGTGAAGAAAGCTCCAAGTAGATATGCACCTGCGCACCAAACCCTAGCCGCCTCTTGTTTTTTATCCAATGAGTGGGTAGCGAATCTTTACTTTGGTTCAAGTGTAATAGATATGCACTCCTCCCTAACCTTCTCCTTACTATTCAGATCTACATCTCTATTTGGATATTTCGTCGGAGGAAACTCAGGAAGCAAAACATGTTCTTGAAAAGCTTGAGAAGATTAAACTAGAGCTTACTCAGAATTTTGTTGACGTTGTTGTGGACGTCGCCGAAGTTTTACTAAAAGTGAATGAAAGATTGATTGAGGTGGTGGTTGACGGTTATTTTCAGTGGAAAAGATGAGCTTGAACCGAGGAGTGGGTGGGGTGAGTTGAGGGGTGCCAGTGGTGCTCCATTTTCCGGCCATGGCATCGATTACCGATGGTGGTGGTGTTGTGGATTAGCGATGGTGGTTGTGGTCAAGTATTTTTCAGAAACATAGAGAAATAATTATAATACTTTTTAATAACTAAAAATAATTGAAATTCATAAAAATAAATGAAAAAGAAAATAAATAGGGCATTATAGTCATTTCATGTTTCACATGGGATAAAATATGCAAAGTTAAACTAACGAGGGACGAAGCACACAACTTTTTAACGACATAAGTGACGGTCCGAGTTAATTTTTAAAAATAGGGACTAGACATGCTTTCTGGCATGTGCACGAGGGACGATTGGTGCAATTTACCCAAAAAGAAATTATATATTTATAAATGATTTATTTATAATAATATCATTTAATTCCATAGTAATTTTCAAAAAAGTCCCAAAATTTTGGTTATCGGGTAATTTTCAGAAAATGCTAATATTTTCAGCAAACTAACGAAAAATGACAGAATACCGGCTAAATCTTTGAAACCGGGCAAAAAGGGTTTTTTCGAAGTTTTAGCCGGTATTCCATGTTTTTCTGTAAACAAAAATTAGTTTGGGATTTTTTTCATAAATTAGACTAAAATTATAGAATTTTTTTGGAGATTTCCTCAAGGATATTTTCCAAATTGATAGTTTTTGAGTTAATTAATGATAACATTAGCTTAAAAATGGTTTAAAAAATATAGTATTAAATTTAAAAAACATTTTTGATATTTGAAACGATAATCGAAAAAATTAGTTTAATTGTTTTCATATATAATCCGCATATAAATACGGCTAAGATGATGTAGTTTTACTATATCTTTATATTATAATATGTTTAAAACATTTAAAATATTTTATATCTACTAAACAGTAAAATTATTATTTTAAAATTCATTATAACACAATACTATATTAGATTATGTGTAACACGCAGGTATTCGCCTAGTTTTCATAATAAAAGATGTTTATGATTATCTTTTCTAAGGTTGCAAAGTCATTAGCCGGTACTAAGTAGCGACTAGCGATTATTCCGCGTAGTCGGGGGTTAGTTGGGATTAATCGGAGACCCTAAAATGTAAATTTGTTAAATTTAAAAAATTAAATATAGCTAATATCATAATGAACTTCGTAAATATCACTAATATAATAACAAGATTGGTTAATATGATTTTTACAACATTATTCAATCCTTAAATATTTTCTTATGACTTGGAATTTTTTCAAAGTGTGATAAATTCATCGGTTTCTATAGCCTCACTCATTGTCTAGGCAAAGATTAATTGTTTTACATCTTCACTGACTGCTCTTTTTTAAAGATGTCTTGGTGGAACTTAGTAGAATTATCATTAGAGCACCACTTTCTTAAATATCATATTTCTATCATTGAAGTTACCGTTTTAACTGAAGTGTTAATTTGATTGTCCAATTATACACTACAAGAAAAAGACCCTTTTACGACGCGCAAACAACGACACTCGGAGATTTATGTTACGCAAAAGAGAGTGACGTTAAAAAAGTGCCATCTCTTCAAAAAATTTAAGGATTTAGGTCACGCATTATTGCGTGCCCTTGAATTAGTGTCTGAAGAAGAAAAATTAAAAACACGGAGGGTGCTTTATCTTAAACGTGCGTCGTCTGTGGCTGTCGCTTTATAATTTTAATGAAACGCGCGTTTTAATAGCTAAGGGGGGAAATGGAATCCATAAAAATCAAAACCAGGGGGAAATGGAATCCATAAAAATTAAAACCCCCGCCTGTTCGATCCTTTCTCAGCCATAACCCTAATCTTTGAATTAGCAAGAAAAAAGCCTTAGGGATCGACGTCATCTTCACCCACCTCCAACGCCTCCAACCCTAGTCCTTCATCCAACACAACTCGGGATTTCTCTGAATGAAAACCTCCAACTACATCCTCCACATGAACAAAAAACCTAATTGGCGGCCACGTTTTGACATCAGGTATCCTTTGGATGAAAGCCTTCTGTTGAAACCAGGGTCCCTTTGAGATCTTCTATTAGGGACGATTGCTCATATTTAGTTCATACATCCCCTCTAACCAAACCACTAGCATCGCAAAACAACCCTAATCTTCTATTCGTTCGTCTTGGCGACTAGAGAGGGAATTGTTCAAGGTTTTTGTGTGGGTCTGTCGGATTTATGAGTCACCGTTGAGGGAAGAGGGGGAAGAGGACTTCGAGACAAAATTTTCTCCAACCTAAGCTATCGATTCCTATTATTTTCTTCTCATTCTTTTCTGTTTTCCCCGCCAAGCACCATCTACCGCCATGGTCGGCAGCCTAGGCTGTCAGCGTGTTTCTATGTCGCCACCCTCCACAATTAGACAGTTGGAGGGTGAACGACTTTCTCCATCGGTTCGATTCTTGCATAGAAGTTGCAATCCAAAAACAAAAGGAACAGCTGTCTATCGAGGTTAGTTACATTTATAAAAAGATTTTGTTTTTTACATTAAAAAAGGATTAAAATCTTTTTCTTTCCTACTTCATCTCACTTTCTCAGAAATGCAGCTTAGCAAAATGATGCTTCTGAAGTATTGGGAGTGACATTTGACTGTTTACACCAATCGTTCAAATCATCTGGTTCTGGTTGTGGTGGAGAGAACCTAGAGTGGAGGGCTTCAGCAACGATATCTCCTTGCCATGTCACAATATTTTATTCCTTTATATTACAAATAACTATAATCTTTTTAATGGTACAATTTATTCAGTTTTCTTAGTATAATTATAATTTATTGATGGCTTGTTATTGTCTTGAACATTATTTTATTCCTTTATATTGCAAATAACTATAATCCTTTTAATGCTTCGACGATATTTGGGTGAATATGTCCATGGATTTTCATTAGGGGCCTTAAGAATCAGTTTCTGGAAAGGTTTGTTAATAATTTCTGCACATTTTCTTAATAATCTCTAAGGATGGAGGATGAGGTTGCCTAAAAATCAGCTTCTCAGTCCATATTTCTTCATTTGCCTGATTTGAACAATGTTTTTTTGTTCAGCAATCCAAGACATCCTTTTGCTATTGGTCTTACTCTGGCAAAGCTTGCTGCTTTTACAGTGGATGAAAAGGGGAATGAAACATTTGACACCAGTGGTGCACTAGATAAATTATGAAAGGTCAGTCCCATTTTCCATCTTTTGTATCCTGCTTTTCCATTTAAATATTTAGTCATTGACACCTCTTTAGGTCTTAGAAACAGGAAATGAATTCTTAACAAAGTTCAGTTCTTTATGTCCTAGTCATGATATATGTCTTCTACTTTTTTATCATTTACCAAAAAATATTAAGTTTATGTCTTTTTGATATCTCACATGTTTTTTTTTCTAGTCATTGCAACTTGAAAGGCTTGCTATGTATCACGATTCCAACCAACCTCCTTGGATGGTGGATAAGAAATGGGAAGATCTCAGTCCTAAGGATTGGGTTTAGGTATGATCCTTGTTCCTTGCATATTTAAACAGTTGTAATGGAAGTAGTAAGTACCCTTTGATGTGCAAGATTTCTAAGCTTCAATTTTCACAAATGATAGATATTTGAAGATAGAATAAATGAACCTGCCAAGGGTCATGCAGTTTCTGCATGGGCTCGAGATCGCCACTACTTAGTTTCACTATAGGTTATCTTGGAGCCAAATTTAGCACTTCTGTCATCTTCGTAGGTGATATATTAAGTTATATGCTGGTATACTCCAACAAACGATGGATTCTAATGACCCAGAAGCTAGAAGTATTGAGAGAGATCTTGATCCAAAAGTTATTCTTCTATGGAGGTTTGTGTTCTGGTTACACAAGCACGTGTTACTGTTTTTTTTTTGGTTTAATAATTACTTGTATCTTTTGTAATATCTGATTGTGACCTTTTAGATATTTTGCGTTCATCTTTCAGGTTCTTTGCACATGCAAAAGTTGAATATGTAAAATCAATGGAAGAAGCCAAGTAGAGGATGAAAAAAAGGATAGCTGGTTTTCATTTGGATGGTCTATTACTGACTTGTCTCCTTTTCTTCTGGTTTATGTAGCCATTTTTATATTTTTTTCACAATCATTTATTATTATTATTATTATTATTATTATTATTATTATTATTATATTTTTTGAAGTGATTTTTTAGAGTTTTAGAAATGCGAAAACTGAAAAACTTAGTTGTGTTTGATAAGAGTTGCCTAGGTTCGATTTGGTTTATGATATCTAATGGAATCAGTGAGTGATTTGATGTGTTTTTTCTTTTTTTTTCTGAAGAAACAAAATGATCAAAGCATTAATCGGTGCAGCAGGTTCTGCATTGATTTAATAACAGAAGAAGTGAGGGTAGTAGTAATTTAAAGTTTTCATCTCAAGGGGAGACATTGACTACAAGATCTCCCAGGTATGGTTAAGCTATCTTTCTGAATTCCTTAAGACTTTTCATTTGTATTCATAGCATGAGTGCATGACCAATGGAGTTCAACATTCAGTATTGGAAACAAATAGTTCTTTCTTTGCTTGATCTACTTAAGGAGTCGTGTAATGATAAAACATATGATATCATTGCCATTGAGAAACTTATCCAATCTGGTATGTTTCCATTGATATATAACATATTCTCCTTTAATTTATGCCTTTTTCTATATTAGTTTTTTTTAAGTTGAAGTTCATGTTTTACTTTTTGCTTACAGAAGACATTTCGGTTAATGAATTAACTAATCAGATCTCATGCCTTTCCATTTTTGCTTAAAAAGCTTCACAACTTAATGTAGCTAAGAACATTTCTTTTAAGGTTCCAACTTCAACAACATAGTTGTAGGCAGAGAATAATGTGGATGTGGACAGAGTAAGATCATCTTCTATTTCTATAGAAAAGCCTCTAAAACTTTGGTATACTCTGTTCCCTGTTCAAATTACCAAAACTGCATATATTCCAGTTTTGCCCTTCCCTGTCATTACCATATTTTGTGCCCTGTGAACTTTACTTTCCTGTCCCAGTTTCTTATTTTGGTGTTAAGTCTTTATTACTGCTGCTGAAGTCGAACAACCTACTATGTTATTCTACTTATAATTGTTTTGGATGTATTTGCTCGAGGATACAACGTAAATTTTCAATTTCTTTTTCTATTTATCATTTTATATTTTAATATATATATTTCTTTAATTGAAAATTAATAATGTATTGATATTGGTTTGGTGTAGTTTTGGTACTATACTTAAGTCGAGGCTGATTAGAGTTGCTCATTGTTTAACATCTATTCAGGTAAGTAGGTTTATTTATTATATCTAATATGAAGAAATTTACGTTCTGTTTGAATGTAATTTAATTAATTTAAAAATGTTTGCAGTTTTCGCCCACCTCTTAACACATATTGCGTGCTTATGGTCGACATCACAGTTCCCCTCTTAAAAGCATTGTTATTAATGGGGAGACCTCATTATCCATTTACACAGTTTTAGAGGTTACTATTTTTTTTTCTAATTTTCTATCCACATTTGTCGATTGATGGTTGTTTATTATTTGAACATATGGTTTTGGGTTTCAGGTATATAGAGTTTCAGATATGGAACTTGTCAGTGCGCTTCCGAGTGCAGAAGATGAGGTCAATGTAGCTTGCTTTCATCCTCTTGCTGGAGGTGGTCTTGTTTATGGAACCAAGGTCTGTACTTTATCTAATAAAAAAAACTTTAGTCTATATTTTTATTTTTATTATTTATTTTTGGTTGTAGGAAGGCAAAATCAGAATCCTTCAGCATAATGGTGGTCATGCGCCCAAACCTGATCACTTTTTTGAAGCAAGAGCAGTTGAGGTACAACAACTCTTGTATTTGTAATACATTTGCTAAACCTGGGTAGATTTGCTAAAGGTGCTTTTCTATTCTATTCTTTTTCATGAATAAACTTAATAAGTCCATGCATATGTTAAATAGGTCCAATAATAAAACCATTTTTCATAGTTGATTAATACTTGTGCATAAGTCCTTAGCACATGTCAAAACCTTTATTCTTTTAGCAATCAATGTTAGTTTAATGTGCACACAATAATAGATGTGATTATGACTTATGCGCTTGTATTCATTGATATTTATTTTATGCAGCTTCAAGACGAAGTCATACTTTCAAATTCAAAGAGATTGCAGATCACTCAAACCAATGTGAACAATTTACCCTCGACATTTTCCTTGATAGTAAATCCTCCCCTGAATACTTAATCCATACCATAGGTGTAGTATGTAAACTATTTATTAGCAAATAAATAAATCAATATGAAAACCTCTCAAATATAAGTAAAATGTTGGTTGATAGTTTTTTTTTTCTTGTTTCCAGGGAGTGGGTTAGCTGGAATGAGGCAAAGGGAGTGGGTTGACCTTTTGTTTTTTTGTTAAATGTTAATCGTTACTGAAAGCAAAAAAAATCAAAATTTAATTTTGATTTATTTGATGTCTCGTGTCTTGCAGGTTCATGGTGGTCGGCAGTCCATGTAAGTTTCTTGATTTGTAACATCTTGTATTCAAGAAATAGCAATGTACTTTCCATAAAAATTATAAATTTTATTCTTTGAAAAATTTGTAGATTGGTAGGTTTAAAAGCAGAATGTCCTAATAAGAATTAATTTTAAAAGTAGAATGAAAATGACAAGTGATTTTGTGTTGTGTTTATAGGGTTGATGAAAGCGAATAGCCTTGGAGTTAGAAGAGGAAAGAAAGCTCAAGCCAAAAGAGATAAGACGCTGTAAATGCAAGTGTTGCATTCTTCATTTCAATTGTTAGTATGAAACACAGAGTAGATGGGCCAATGTACAACTTCTTATCTATATAACATCTGTTTGGAGCATTAGTCTTAAAGAATTATGAAAGGCAAGATGCAACTTTACTTAGTTGGAATTTGATGTAGAGAGTAGATTACATGCAAATTTAGATATTGTAAAAAATAGAATTGTATGACATTAAATTTTATGCAATGGATTGTATTTTTTGTATATGATATTTTATTTCTATTATGAGACATTAAATGCAAATTTAATTTAAAAATTAGTAAATATATAAATATTTATTTTAGAACATTTAAAATTATGATACGCAAAAATGTGTGTCATCTTCGTTTATGACATGACCTTTCTTGACAGGGGCTTCCTTGATACGCATTGCGTGTCATAAACACGCGCGTCGTATGGTTACGACACGCAAATGCGTGTCGTCTTCCTTTATGACAGGGCCTTATTTGATACGCATTGCGTGTCATAACCGTGCGTCGTAAATGCGCGTCATAAATGCACATCGTCTCTCTTTATGACAAGGCCTTCCTTGACACGCATTTGCGCGTAGTCTGAGCGTTTTATGACGCGCAATGATCGTCGTAAAAAGCCTTTTTTCTAGTAGTGATATGATATTCTTAAAAGTTGGGATCCAACCATATTGAGTAGTACATAAAACGTTTTTTAACAAAAAAAACTTAGGGCGTGTTTGGCATGGAGTGTTTGAGAGCTTCTAGCTTCTAGCTACTTCATGTAGCGTTTAACAAAACGCTACAAACTACAAGTTACCTGCTACCAGCTTAATTTGCCGAACACGCCCTTAAATAAAATAAAATAAAACATTTTTTAATAGTAAACTTAAATAAAATAGAGCGCAGCAAGCAACAAGAAACTCAACACAACAAATTACATCAAGTTGTCCCATAACCTCAAATTGGACAATTAGGTGTAATATCTTGTGTTTATAAAACATCCGAAAAATACAGTCCAAAATTTTCATTTTAAATCATTAATAAAACCATAGTAATCCAAACATTATATGAAAACCATAAATCGTGTATCTTAAAATATCATAACATCTATCAAAATATATCAGAGTATAAACATCTCAGGCTAAACAAATGGTGTGTGCACTGCAATCATCCCAAGCTCTTTCCTTTGCTACCGGAAGTACCTGAAACCAAAACTGAAAATTGTAAGCACGAAGCTTAGTGAGTCTCCCCAAACTACCACATACCATACAACTAATCATGCTACTAGGAGATACGGGCCCCACCCACACTCAATGAGATACAGGCCCCGTCCATACTCAACTACTATGAGATACGGGCCCCGCCCACACTCAGTTAGTCGTGAAAATTAGGGATGGCAAAAAAACCCGAACCCGATGGGGAAACCTGATTCTCGAAGTTTTCGGGCCGGGTCAGGTCAATACTATCGGGTATCGGGTTCGTATCGGGTATTTTTTCTGGGTTTGGGTCAAGGAGTGGGTTGTTTCTGCCCCGACCCGACCCGCCCCATATATATATATATATATATACATATATATATATATATATGTCTATATATATATATATATATATATATTAATATTACACTTCAGCCCTAACAAAACTCGTTCACAAATCACACTTCTCACTCTTCTCTTCGTCTTCTACTCTTCTAGGTTACAGCCGACATTCCAAATTGCCGAGTAGACATTCCAAATTGACTGAAATCAAATCGCAAGCTACGAGCCTGCAATAGACGATAGTGCGACCAGTAGGCAATGACAGACGATACGCAACCTACAAATCGAAGAACTTTGTCTTCGATCGACGCCACACAGTGACGCTCACGCACAAGAAACAATCACATGTAGTCGATCATTCAATCCCATCTTTCTTTCTCTTCATTTTTCTTGAAATTGATCATATGTAATCGATCACAACTTGTATCTTTCTCTTCAATCCTTCCCTGTGACCCTGTATATTTCATTCCCTGTGGTAATTTGGATTATTGAAATCAATTTCTTATTTAGAAATTAGAATCTGTGTCCTACTGTATCTTTCATTCTTTGTGGTAATTTGGATTCTTGAAATCAATTTCTTATTTAGGAATCTGAATAACGTTTTGAACCTTTAGAACCTGTAAAGTAATTTGTTTTATAATAAAAACTAAGGAAATTGAATTGTTTTATAATAAATCTGTAAACAATCATTTACATTCTAATTTTATGGTAATTGAGCTTATACGTGTTTATGATATATTTATATTCTAATTTTGAACAATCATTTGACAGAAGAAACAATTAATTTTGATTATATCTAAAATAATTTATATTTATATGTTTAGTTAAGAATATATTTGATCTTGTCTTCAATGTATTGTTTAAGCAATTAGCAGCTATTTAAAATCAATACAAAACTATTTTTTGCATTTGTGTGGTTAAGAATAATGTTCTGATAGGTAAACTGTTATTTTTCAGGAAATATGAATTCAACCGGTAAAAATCATGCTCCAACTGCAAGTAGTCAAGATGTGGGAGGTTCGGGTTCTAATCAACAAAATACTGATTCTGTGGATCAACAAGATGGAACAAATATTAATGATACAGTTTTTTATGAAAATGGAGATGAAGTTGTTGGTTCGAAAAGGGCAACACGTTCACCGACATGGCAACATTTTATAAAATTTAAATTGAATGATGAAGTTAAAGCAAGATGTAAACATTGCTCTAAAGTGTTGGGTGCAAATAGCAAGAATGGCACAAAACATTTACTTGCACATTATAAGTGTTGTGTACACAAACCTTTTGCAGATATTCTTCAATCTATCTTGGTGCAAGAAAAAAAGAAATTAGATGGTACTACAATGCTTGTTTCAAATTATACATTCAGCCCCGACGGGGCGCCCCGATAAGAAACCCGTCGGTTATCGGGTCGGGTTCGGGTACATATGTAAAAAACGGGTTCGGGTTTGGGACACCATGCCCCGCCCCGTTGCCATTCCTAATGAAAATACATACAAGTACCACACAAAAAAGTATAAATAATCATATAAATATGTACCATATCAGCTATCTAAGAGATACGGACCCCGCCCACACTCAACTACTAGGAGATATGGGCCCCTCCCACACTCACATTCCTAACAACACATACAGGTATCTTACAATCAAGTATAGCAATCTAACAATCTGACTGATATCTATACTTAGGTAATAATGAGATACAGGCCCCGCCCACACTCCGTGTTCCTATCAAGAATATATAAACTACACGATCCGGTATTGGTGTCTTAGACTCGTTTAATCCAAGAGGAAACTTACCTCGCACGGCTAAAGTCCCACAAATAAATCTTGGGCTGCTGGCTGACAGATCCTCAAGTTGTCAAAATCAAAACAAAACCTAATTAACCATTTGGACTTCCTATGCATAACTCTAAAATCCCCACCTGGGGTAAAAGGACCATTTTACCCCTAACCTAGCTTGGTCCAAGATTAAGGCCCAAACTTATACTCTAAAGGCTCAAAAGTCAAATAATTAACCAATGCCCAACTACTGCCCAATTTTCCAAATTGGGCCCAAACCCCTCACATGGTCTCACCTTAAGGCTCAACCATTTATTCTGGTCCAAACACTTGGCAAACCAATGGTCTAATATCTCATAATCATCAATGCCCAATTATGGCCCATCTATGGCCCAATTTTCCAAATTAGGCCCAAGCCTTTCCAATGGGCCTTATCCTAAAGCCCAATTCAATATTCTAGTCTTTATACTTGCTCTTAGATGGTCCATTAATAGTCCAAACTCTAGGCCCAACAGAAAAGGGCCAACACAATTAGGGTTTTCACATGAAACGACGATTAGGGTTAATTAGAAACACTTAACCCATTAAGGACTTAATCCATTAAGTTCATCAATCTACTAGGTCAATCATACAGTGTAATTGGTCATAAGCCATACATCTATCCACTGGTCCAACCGCGGATCCCGATAATCCAAAACTTACATATTCTAAAATTAGGGTTTTCTAAACCCTTGTTAGGGTTTCCAACCCAAACACAGGTCAACCAAGTCCAAGATTAAGTTTTTAGGTCCATTAGGGTTCCACTAGGCCGCATACCACCCACTACCACCTCGGGTAGTGGTGATCAATGGCGGCTCACGGTGGCGGTCACCACCCCATGGTTGTGGTGGTGGTGATATTCTTTACTTTTGACCAAGAAAAATGATATAGTATTTACCATTAAAACACATATATAGTACATATACACACATGCACCCCCACGGTGGCTGGTGGCGGCAATGGGTGGTATAAACGGCAGCCACCATGGTTGCGTCTTCACCGGAAGAGGGCAGCAGCAGCCCACTGCTAGTGTCTTTGTGTTGCTCTTCGTTGCTGGCGGTTTTGCTGCGGTGAACTCCAGCTTCAATGGCAAGGAGGCGGCAGCTGATGACACTTCAAGGTGACGGTTGCAATAGAATATTATGGTTCGGGTTTCATGTCTCCAAAATAATGGGAGATAAGGAGTGACGGGTTAAAGTCCTGGTTCCATACAAACTTTTGCTCTATTATCCACTTATGATCCCTCCCGATCAATTCTTTTTCAAATGAAGTCCAATAGTTACCATATAGCCCTCCACTTTGAGAATTATTTGCAAGACCAATCCGAAAATTACCTTTTAACCCCCATGATCTTAATTTTGACATATTCAGTCCTTCCTTCTCTAATCCTTACCATCTAAATCCTCATTTTACTCTTTAGTCCTTGTTTCCCACAATTTTTTACAATTCAAATTCCATTATTTAAAAAAGATTCCAATTTCCAGAATTTACGTCATTTAGCACCTTTTGACAAACACTAATAACTTTTTACGAATTTAGGGCCACTATTCGTCTATTAATTTTATCCATTTAATTATTTGGTAAACGGGATGTTACGGTTGAACTTCTAGCTACTTGTTAGGCTCTATTTTATACAAGTTTGTTGTTCAAGAAAATGTTTTATTTAGCACTCAATGTGTTAGGCTTCCATTTTTTATGGATTTATATCATTGAATAATCAAATTAGCACATAATGTAAAACGCTAAATTCAATGACGGATGGGCCACCGACTACTTCCACTTTTCCCTTCTCGCGACAGTCCGCTGGAGAACAAAACGATGAGTCTTGCAAGAAAGGCGGCGGACCGGCTAACAGCCGACCTCAGGTGCTGAAAAGCAATTACGACTTGTAGAGTTTGGTTTTTTAGTACATAAACTAATCCCTTCAATCACGTGTTCTTCGGCTTCAACACCTGAGGAGTTTAGTATCAATCTCATGAGAGAAGCATCAGGTCTACCGCCAACTCCACAAATCCTGATTGCTTTTCAACTTCACCCATATAGCTCTGATTATCTTTCGATTTTGGTTTCATTTAGACTTCCAATTTCAGCAATTTTTCAATTTGTTTTGGTGTTTACTTTGGAAATTATTGCAGTATCATTAGGTTCATGTGAATTCACGAACAGAACAAAGACTGTATCTTCTACAACGTTATGACATTTGAAACTTTAGACCTACCGACTCATTCATTCTTAACTTCAAACAAACCCACCACTGTTCACCGGTCTTCCAACTGGTAGCAAGGTCGGCCACCAGAAAATTGATCCAAAGGAAGTCAAAGTTTAGCATGGAGAAAGATCCAGAATTCAGCAAGGTTGGTAATTCAAGTTATTAATTTTGACTTTGACTTTTTTATTTTTTTGCCTAATTCTGAAGTCAGCTTTGTGTTTTAATTTAGGTTCAACGCATGGGACTCTGGTCAATGAAGTCCAGTCTTCAAGTTCAAAACAGGGTCAAGAGTTTGTTGGTAAAGCGACTGCATAGCAAAAGTTTGTGAATGATTCTGATATAGATGCTACAAAAATAACTGCAATGAAGGATGCAGAGTTATGGTTCTAAATTTAGCCCATATTTTTCTATTTCCCTGTTTTGATTATTTGTTGATTAGTGAATAGAAACCTGATTGGAACGGCCATCATGTCAACTGACCAAAGGAAGAAGCTGTTATAGGGGAGTATGAACTATGAAGTCCAAACACATGTATTTCTTCCCAGAATACCATAAAACACTTTTATATTTATTTTTGTTGATTGGGATATGTATGAATGTAGAGTGGCCACAAGTGGGACACATCCATGTTCTCTGACCGGGAACGATAACAGAAGTTCAAGAAAATCATGGTACTTTTACTTGTGGTCTTTTTATTATTTATTCGGTCACTGCAGTTGCACAACACAATAGTTGTTTGCTGATACTGATACATGTTTTATAGTTTGAGGTTGTATTGGTACATATGCCCAATTGTAGGGTCTATAAGTGGATCCAAAACCAGATGCTCTAGACGCCACTCTTGCAGAGAAGCAGAAAGATCTTCAGATGGACTTTGAGAAACAATACACTGTTGGCCTTCGTTCGTAGATCTCCAAATCTTCAAACCCTAATTATTGGTTTTTAGTAACCCTTTGAACTTATTTGATTAACTTTTTTTAATTTTTTTTTCATCTGTGTACTTTTATTTGTGGTAATAAATTGGAAAATGATATTCAATGTTCATGACTTCTAAAATCAATGGAATTCTAAGTATGGCTCAAATATTAACATCAACCTGGTATAGTTTTTGTATTACATACTTAAGGTATAGGTTTAAATTATAGTTAAATTATTGATATTCTATATGTTATGATTTTCATCTTTAGATACTGATTTTTTCTAAGTTATTCGTTTTTTCAGTGCTCACTACAGAACTCTTGAAAGCTAAGACATATTGGAATGATTGAAAGAGTAAGAATTACTTATTATTTTTCTTAAGTATGATAAAAGCATACTTTTGGTACTGATTATCTAGAGTTAATACATAAAGTTTTTTTCTATGTTTTTCTCTTTTAGGTTTATTGCTAACCAATCCTTTTTTCCATATTGTTTCTTTGTAATTTTAGCTGATGAAGAACCAAGCTGGTTAATCTAGAATCTAACACTAATGATTTAACATATTTGTCATTTTCGGTTAATGATTTTGTTATGTTCTTGCTATTAGATTAGATTGGAATTTAGTAATGCTTATGGTTATCATGGTCAACTAAATATAAAATGTTGATTTTCTGGCAGGAGGAGATCGAAAAGAGATGAAGAGATTGATAATTAGAATGTTAATAATGTTACATCACAAATGGAGATCTATAGGCCTACAGTTTCATTGCTTAAATTAAATATCAATCAGGTGGATTCAAGTGCCAATACCTTTTGTTGTAACTTAATTTATGAATCATGAGAATATATTCTTAAATTTTGTGTTTGATAATATGGTCCTATATCGTATTTTAAATATATATGATTTATGCATACGAAAGTTTCTTAAACCAATTGTATTTCTTAAACCAATTTTGTGTTTGAGCCGACATTTATTATGCATACTGTTTGTATAGTTAAAAATTTTCATTTGAATATTTTTGGATCAAACTGTCCCTGCTTAGTGTTTATAAACTTAAAAAAAAATATATTTTAACAGTTTTAGACGAAACTACCCCTGCATACTATTTTTATAGTTATTGTTGAAACTATTATTTGTCTTTAGTTGGGACCAAACTCTAAGGTGTGCAATTAACTGTAATTATGTCTATCTTTAGAACACATCTTTACTGAACTCATGAATGATTTTCAAGATTTCATGTCTTTATTTTATATATTGTTGAAATTGTTATCTATCTTTAGTTTTACAAATGTTTATGGTCAGCTGCTTAATCTCATCTCATTTGATTTTTTTAGGTAGTTGAATTTGTTGCACACATGGAAATAACTTCCAACCAATTTCCTAGAGTATTCTATGGATATACACTAGGTGGTGTTTCTTTATTTAAAAATGAAGATAATTAT